TTTTTTTAAGCAATCTTTTCATACCAAGAGTTCTTCTCCTTTTAAAAACCTTAGAGAAATTTGTTTTGTTCTGAGGGAGGTTGTTCTGCTTCAAATCTATGGCAACCAAATAATATTAAAGAACTGCATCATAGTACTCAGAAGTGAGTACTCCAATGGAAAATAAATTGGGGTAGAACATTAGTGGAAATTTTGGGTCTAGACCAGGTAAAGTGAGGGAGTGGTGACAGCCATCTACTTGACTATTTTGGATTTTTCTAGGAATTTTTACTTTTGGTTGAATCTTTTTACCTTTTCTTCCAGTTCCTGGTCCCCCATGACTTACCCCATTTAGAGTTTCAGAGACACAGTAAGAAAGTAGGGATGAGGGACTGGGCGCTTTGATACTATTTAACATCATCTGTGTGGAATATTGTTTCCCCTCCTCTTGAAATGGCTAGGTCTAGTTTCTGCATGGCATGGTGACAACATAAAAATATGTTCTGTCTGAAATTTAATGACTTATTTGGCATAGGAAGTGGAGTATAAAACCTTAGTTTTATATTATTTCCAATTATAGTTCAGAAATTAGATTGAGTTGGTGACTGTAATGTCACCACTAGCTTATGCCAGTTTCTTCTTCCCTCCCAATTGTGTTATATTTGACTTGTTAGTTTCACCAGAGAATCTTGTCTTCCTGGGTTATATGTATTGACAGGTCTCATGCTACATTGCCTCCTTTTGGGGGGACCATATGTAATTGCCTTATTATGTATTACCTTGTTGCCTAACAATGACTCATCTTTTCTGAGCATATAATAATTTCTTGTTGACAAGTTACTTCTTCTGTTTTGTTTCCCTATCTAGTTCCTTCTGACCAAGGACACTTTCCCAGTCTTATTTTGAACTAGGGTCCATAGTAAATAAGATGAGATTAATACTGAAATCAGAATAACTGCAAATTTCCTAATCCTCAGAGGGAACTGAAAACAGAGATACGGGATATAGATAGATTACCTCTTCTGGTTTCCTGTTTCCTGTTTGTATGGATAAATAGTTTTGGATGGTGAAGTGATAACATGTTTTTTGGGGTATGGATCCATTTGTTTAAATTAAAAAAAATTTTTTTTAATCTTTATTTTTGAGAGAGAGGGAGGGAGGGAGGGACAGAGAGAGAGGGAGACACAGAATCTGAATCAGGCTCCAGGCTCTGAGCTATCAGTGCAGTCTGACACGGGCCTCGAACTCAAAAACTGCAAGATCATGACCTGAGGTGAAGTCCCTTAACTGACGGAGCCACCCAGGCACCCCACCATTTGTTTAAATTTTTGATTTAAATTTTATTTAAATTTTAATGATTTCTTAAGCATGCCTATTTCTAATTTTTAGGTATTATTTCTTCACTACTCCAAAACAGGCCTGATTCCTCATGAATGATTTCAATCTGATTCCTTTATGGGACATTCCTGTGAGGCCACAGCATGGAAAGAGACGAATACTCCTTTTTTTTCCACTCTTGTGCAGGGTCTGTGGCATGCAAAAGTGTGAAGCATATTTTTCCCCTAATTTATGTTTCGGTTCTCTTTTTCTTCTGCCATCCTGCGGATACTCTACAGCTGGATTATTTTAGTCATTCCTTAAGCCAATCCCATGCTTCCCTGCCTGTTTTGTTCCTGCTATTCCTGCTTAAAGTGTTCAAATCCTGCTCATCCTTCACAGCCTCACGTAAATATTTGGTCCTTGCTGTAAGATGATTTCCTTAATCGCTTTGCTCTTACCTTGTTGTACTTTTCTCTTCTGAATTCCCAGTGATAGAATTATTTGGGTACTTTCCCTCTCTCTTCCTAGATTCTGACACTCCAGTGTAAAAACAGTATTGTTAATCTTTTTTCTCACTGCACTTAGCATTGCTTTTAAAATATTGTCCCACATAAATATAACCAACATAAGAATTTTAAAAATTGAATTAATTATGAAACACATAGAAAGCAAGTGCCATTTTAACTAAGTTGAAGTTAAGAGCTATGTTTTGTGGCTTAGGGGCTAAAGGTCTATGACATTTGGCCGTCTCTTCCTTTTCCTCTAAGATCCTATAGCTAGAGTGTAGTGCTGTTAGAGCATCACAGGCCAGGAAGAGTCTTCCTGGTGCTCACTGTTTTCTTTCTTCAGAAAAGATCATAAACAAGTGGTCTCAGACATAAGTGTATCTACCTTGTTTTCAGGAAACCTCTAAGCAAGGAGACTTTTATAACTTTTCTTGGTAACTCAAGCTGTCACAAACCTTAGAATAATCTAAATACTAAAACAACAATCTTATGTCATTTTCTCTTATCAAACTTTAGCTGGAGATGTCATTTGTTTGGGTCTTACTTTGTGTTTTCATCACACTTGCTAGCATATGCATTCCTTGTTGAATCAGTGGGATAGTGCAGTAGCCTCTCCATTGATAACAGCGAGTCCTGGACCTTCTGCTTCCACCCATGATAGAATAATGTGACTTGATTTCTCCCCAAATCATTGTGTCAGTTTTTGCTGATAAAAGCTGCAGGGGTTCCCTGTGAATTTTCAGATGAAAATACCTCAAATACATGTAAATCATTACTTTTGAAAAAGGGAGTTTAATTTGTGATGCATGCAAACAGTACTTTGGAGGAATTGTGTGTGTGTGTAAATGTCATAAAAGTTGCTTCTTGTATCTTTGGTTAGTTAATATTATATGTGCTTCTATTTTTGGAATCCTCTGTCAAATAACTTGTTTATGTTTTCTTAGCTTTTTATTTCATTACTGGTAAAAATGTTATATTTATTGATACAAATAGTCTTTTTCTTTCGAAATGATCACCTCTCATTTTTAAAATATATATGAGATCATTACACTGGTGTTATTTTCCTGACTCTAAAGAAAGGAACTTTTAAATAAATTAGTTATTGTCTTCTGTGTTATTGAACATGTGGTCAGTTGTCATGTTCATGCATCCAGATGATCAAAGTCTGAACTTCTGTTTAATTCTTCCCTGCTGTTAGGCTACCCTGTCATGATCAAGGCCTCAGCAGGTGGTGGTGGGAAAGGCATGCGAATCGCCTGGGATGATGAAGAGACCAGGTGAGGTGCTGTCCAAAATCTACTTTTGATGAAAATTGCAGTTACTGGAGTTTTATTAAACTGACAAGTAAACAGATACCAAAAGTGTAATGGAATAATTACAATAACCAGATAATTTTTACTCTTTTAGATGGGAAAAAATGGAGATTATGCAGAAAACTTTCTTGTTTATATGTTGATGATGATTGTTCTGTTAGAGAAAGGTTCTTACTTTTTTATGCATTAACAAAGGAGGATTGTCTTTTTGTTTTTATATTATATTTTAAAAATTATAGTCATGATTCTGTTTTTTAGGCAAAAGCTACTAACATTTGATGTATATTCTGAGTGTGGTCAGAAGATTTGAAGCAAATATATTTATTTATTTATTTTATTTTTAATTTTTTTTTCAACGTTTTTTATTTATTTTTGGGACAGAGAGAGACAGAGCATGAACGGGGGAGGGGCAGAGAGAGAGGGAGACACAGAATCGGAAACAGGCTCCAGGCTCCGAGCCATCAGCCCAGAGCCCGACGCGGGGCTCGAACTCACGGACCGTGAGATCGTGACCTGGCTGAAGTCGGACGCTTAACCGACTGCGCCACCCAGGCGCCCCGAAGCAAATATATTTAAAGGCAGTTATGATTTCATTCGTGCATTAGTCAGTGTGTACTTTCTATAGCTTGTCTATAAAAATGGTGAACTACTTCAATAATTCTATACTGTGGAATATATTTCTTCTGAATTTGAAACTACTAAATGTCCTTTATATACAGTGCACTCTGTTGTAAATGTAGACCAGTTTCTTATTAGTAGTTTCAGAAATCAAAAGTAACTTTTAAAACCAAATTTTAAAAATCCAATGCATTGATGACATCATGGTGATTAAAAAATAACTTTTTGGGAAAAATGCATAGTACAAACAGGTTTTAGGCGCTTCTATGTAGGTTTGTGTTTTTATGGATTTTCGGATATGGCAGAAGAGATTTATGTCATTGTTTTTGGAGGGTTGGAGGGGATAAACAATGACTTAATTATTGTCTTATGTTGCTTTTTGGTGCCCTTTTTCTACCCAGAAGTAATGTGGTCTTCCAGATCGTTCTGCTTTCTTCAGTTCCTTTGCTTTTCCTTTCCTCCCCACTCCCCCATATCTCTCAAAAACAGAAGTCTGGAGCAGTTGTCGTGAAAGTTGTTCACTACAAACCTAATTCAGAAATTAGGTTCTAAAGTGTACAAGCAAGGTAAAAATTTTCTCAAGGCAATATATTATTACCCTTTAAAATCTTTTGGGAAAACACCAGGTTGCAGACTTGCACAGATGATTTTACCTCTAAAGGAAAATTATCTCAGAACACCATTGTTTCTTTGGTTGAGCATCAGAGAAAGTAATTAGTTGTGTTGTGGCGTTATAAGAGATAACATATACTGCTCTTTAAACCCCAGTCTTGGGGCGCCTGGGTGGCAGTTGGTTAAGCATCTGACTTTGGCTCAGATCATGATCTCGAGATTTATGGGTTCGGGCCCCGTGTTGGGCTCTGTGCTGACAGCTCAGAGCCTGACTGTAAGAATAAACTCATTGCATGGAGTGACAATATTGGTTGAGGATCTGTGTGATAGGCACTGTTTTAGTAGTGTTCCAGGAATACAGACAAAATAATCCTTTCCTCTATGCAGTTTATATACTAGATCTGGAGTTCTTAACCTTTGAGTTACCAGCCCCAGGAAATTGAGGAGAGGTTTATGCATCTGCATGAGGGAAAAAAAGGACCTATTTCTTCACTAGCTTCTAGTTGGGATTTAGTGTTTCCTCCAATATAGGCAACCGACTTACAATAGTGGTAATATCTATGAAACTTTGTACCACTTTGGAAGTCACATGTTATCACATTACAGTTGTTGAAGATATCTCTGAGTAACAGTGATTATTATTAGATTTGTTGTTGGAGCTTATTATTATAAAGAACCCCATACATTGTATCCCAAATTTGTTCTTAAAAATATTTTGATGCCTGTAGTTCAGTATAATTTGTTTCGTGTGCAGTCCTGTGCATTTTCTTTCTTGCACTTTTGGCCTTGTTTTCACAAGAAGTTCATGTGTTGCATGATTATGCAAAAGAGGTATATAGCATAAATCCAGACAGTAGGAGACACCACTGTGGCCATCTTTGGAAAAGACAATCTGCTGCAGCCTCTTGGTAGGAAAGAATGATGTAATAAAGATATAAAACACAACTCAACGGTTCTGTAAGAGATGTGTATTTTATAAACTAACTTTTTTCTCACTGTTTTGCCCTCTTGTATGGCACTTACATAGCAATTTCACTGAAAGCTTTAGCACTTACTTTTCATTATTCTTCTTGGGATCTCAGATTGCTTATCCATCATTTCTCCAGGGCTTCCTGTTAGTAACATATTCTTTTATGGTGAAGATAACTCTTAAATTTCTAGGTATTGAGATTTGCTGTGCTATTAACCAATGGATTTTTTTTTTAATTTTTTTTTAACGTTTATTTATTTTTGAGACAGAGAGAGACAGAGCATGAACGGGGGAGGGTCAGAGAGAGAGGGAGACACAGAATCTGAAACAAGCTTCAGGCTCTGAGCAGTCGGCACAGAGCCTGACATGGGGCTCGAACTCACGGACCGCGAGATCATGACCTGAGCCGAAGTCGGACGCTCAACCGACTGAGCCACCCAGGCGCCCCTAACCAATGGATTTTAATTTAGCATTCAGTATTTTCAGAAATCACTGTATCTATTCATATATTGGGCATCTTTTTGGGTAATAATTTAACCCATTAAATGGCACATTGGTTCAAAATATGTTGATAAAATTAATAAAAATATGTGCACCCATACTTTTCTATCTAAAATATTGCTCTCACTTTGATAAATCATATCTGAAACTTTGTTGAGATTAATAAAAGTATGACACTATTTGGTTTGATAATACATGCTCTTTATTTTAAAAAGTTCCTCTGTATCCCCTGTTACTTTGGAAGAATCTGAACTACAGAAAAATTGAGAGAACAGTCCAGAAAATATCCATGGGGTTTTCTTCTGTAGTCACCAGTTGTTAATAGGCCACACTGCATCTACTCCTTGCCTTCTCCCTTCTTAAGGCAGAAATATTTTTTGCATACTCGATAAAAATTTTAGCCTTCTTTGGAAGGAAAATCTGATAGCCATTAATTGCTTTATTATTTTATCCAGAGGAGTGTCTTCCTCTTGTAACATCTTTCCTCCGTGGTTTTAGGGAAGTAGCATTTATGGCTTGTCTTAGAATCTTAGAACATCTGAAAGATTAAAAAAAAAATAGTGTTGTTATTGTATATTAAATTAGGGGGAGAATCATGAAGGCTGTTGAAAGTAGACTCAGATATTTTCATAATAACCTCTGGCTTTCTTTTCCCTATCCACGTTTCAATGAAATACGGCATGACTGGAAAATTGATCATGTCTGCATTGTGGAATACCCCTGCTAGATTTCGAGGACTGTGAGGGCAGTTTCTGCTTTATTTTTGTATTCCTATCACCTAAATATGCACCAGGCACATGGTTTCATGATTAGTAAAAACGTATTGAGTGAATGTGTAACTTAGGTATAACAAATGATGTTTTTAATGCAGTTTCCATGAGTTCCAAAATACCCCGTGATGCTTTCAGATGTGACAATTTATTTGGGTGATTTTGATTTTCACCTTTAGTATTCTTGGTTTAAATGCAAAATGTAAGCTCTGAGTCGTTACAGCAAAGACAAACTGTAAAGTGCCTTGTTTTTCTTTCTGAATCCTCATGTCCCATCTAATAAAAAGTTGGTCATATGGTATTGAAAACAATAATTCATTGTGCTTTAGTTTCTTTGAGCTTTGCAGTCTCCTGAGATCTAAAAACTCCATTCCCCTAAATCAAAGAAGTAATAGAGGACTAAGAAAACCTGATACCTTTTCCCTCAGAACTCTGAGAAATAGGAATTGTTGCAATATGTTTTGAATTTATCTTCTAGTCATTGTTTACTTTCAATGTTGTATTTTTTTTTTTTAATTTTTTTTTCAATGTTTATTTATTTTTGGGACAGAGAGAGACAGAGCATGAACGGGGGAGGGGCAGAGAGAGAGGGAGACACAGAATCGGAAACAGGCTCCAGGCTCTGAGCCATCAGCCCAGAGCCCGACGCGGGGCTTGAACTCACGGACCGCGAGATCGTGACCTGGCTGAAGTCGGACGCTTAACCGACTGCGCCACCCAGGCGCCCCCAATGTTGTATTTTTTTAAGCACAAAAACAAAAGTGGTATTTATTTCTAATATTGCCAGATGGAGTGTTTGCAAATTAAAAGATTGGAATAATTTTAATACTGTATTTAAGTACAGATACTTAATTTGAAGATTAATAAGCTATTAATAATGTATAAAAAGAATTAAACTTTATATTCTGGATATATCAGTGAATGGAAAATAATATACTCATTTAGTTTTAGGTAAGCAAGTGTGAGTTTTTAATAGACCAAATGAGCCCAAGTGTATGAATTTAGTGAGCATATTTTAATTCTAATGATTTAAATGATTACAGTTTGGGAATAAAACATGTAAAGCGATAATCCTACCCATACTTCCTATTTTCAAAAATTGTACTTTCCTAAGTATTAATTTTGAACAAGTCCAGAAATGACTAAGCTGTCATGACCTGTATGGGTGTGTAGAGGGCAATTATATTTAAGTAAAGGTGTGCATTTAAACTATCATGAAATGTTCTTGAGGATCCTCCTTTTCTGGGTTCATTTTCACAGAGTACTTTGCTGTAGTTTTGCCCCAGTTGTGCCGTTGGTCAGTTTGACCCTTTGCATTTTTGTGTGCGTATTCTGACTCTTGAATCAAATGGACATGCATTTTTGTATTTTTTAGTAATAGAATTAAGGTACATTGGGTTGAGGAAATGGAATTTTATGTGATTTGTGTGGTTTATTAAAAATACCTGACTTTTCACAGTGAACTAGGTATTGGTATTCCTATTTCATTATAAAATCTAGGATCAGGGAAATTAAATCACTGACCGCACGTCACAGAGCTGGTGAGTGTAAGACTTGCAGGTCACCGCAAGTCAATTTAGATACTTGTGCATTAAGTGAATTTTTGTTTGCTTTGTTCATAAGTAAGCCACGATAAATATTTAATTGCTTTGTTTTCTTTTAGATTGAGGGCTGTGTTTGTTTTGTTAGTTTGACTGTTCTTCCTTTTTAAAAATTTTTTCCAGGGATGGTTTTCGATTTTCATCTCAAGAAGCTGCTTCTAGTTTTGGTGATGATAGACTACTAATAGAAAAATTTATTGATAACCCTCGTCATATAGAAATCCAGGTTGGTACATTTTAAGATGTTTTCTAATTATTATGACTTCAAAATAACATCATTTATTCCTATTGGAAACACATCCTTTCTTCCATTTAGAATGATTGTGAATCGTTCTGGTATGTTTCCATAACTTGAAAATAGAGAATGTACATAAATTGATCACTTCCCTTTGGAATTGGGTATACTTTTTGTCAGAGTGCCAGAATGTTGGTCAACAGAGGGAATGATATAAAAATCCTATAGGAACAAGCAGTCCCAAGATGAACCAGGCTGAATACATTGTGCCCAGAGGCTCATTAGCCCTCTTCTGAGACTGGCCATTTCAGAGCTGTTTTTGTTTTGTTTTGTTTTTTAAGTGCTTCATCTGGATTCCTATTATTTCAGTTCACCAAATGTCTGCGTGGCTGGCCCACTGAGACAAGCATTCTTCTAGGACCTGGTAGTAGAGAGATGAGTAAATGATTTCCTCTACTCAGGTTAAGATTTTAATCCAACTGCTAAAGTGGTTGTGGGGAGTATGGATTTCAGCAGGACAAACGGTTTTCTGAAATGGCACACAGAGGATGATGATGTGTCCTAAATTGCCATTTTTGTCAGAATTGTCTTCATTCTATTTTACACATTAGGGCTATGAATTGAATTCAAATTGATAAAACATAAATATCAAATTTGAAATCATACTGAAATTTAGGTTATTATTTTCCTCATTTCAGTGTGAATAGAGAACCAGAAAACTAATAGGTTATTTGCTGCCCTTGCCCCTTCTGATGGGGCATAGTAAAAGTCCTAGGTTTTGTCATTGTGGTTTTGTTAAGTTTAATTTTCATTTTACATAGATATTATTTATGAGTAGAAAATCTTCATCTAGATCCTCAAATTTTCCAGAATGGGAAAAATGTGCAAACATACATAGTTAGTAGTTAAACATTTTTTTTTTTTAATGTTTGTTTATTTTTGAGAGAGAGAGAGAGACAGAGCATGGGCAGGGGAGGGGCAGAGAGAGAGGAAGACACAGAATCTGAAGCAGGCTCCAGGCCCTGAGCTGTCAGCACAGAGCCCGATGCTGGGCTTGAACCAACGACCCACGAGATCATGACCTGAGCCAAAGTCGGACGCTTAACCAACTGAGCCACCCATGCACCCCATCAGTTAGTAGTTTTAAAACGTTGAATATAGTGTATTTATTTCTGAAGTTAGCAGGATTTTTTGTTGTTGTTGGTTTTTTGTTTTTAGATGTTATAAATTGAGATAACACAGCTCTTCAGTAAAGTCCACAAATCTTGTGTACGCTTCAATAAAATTCTTGTGCACACATGGAAACCTATATAGCAACCATCCAGATAGATAGAGAGATGGATAGATAGATAGATAGACATAAGATGTATAGCACATTTCTGTGACATTAGAAGATTTCTTCATACCATTTCCCAGCCAATCCCTGCATTTTGCTACCAAAGTACCTGCTGTTCTGACCTTTAACACCACAGATTATTTTTGTCCTTAAACTTCATATAAATGAAATTATACAATATATATTTGGTTATACGTACTTGGCTTCTTTCACACAATATCATATCTTTGAGATTCTTCCATGAGGCTGTATGTTATTTATTCATTCTAAGAAATTGTTCTGCAGGGGCACCTGAGTGGCCCAGTTGGCCAAGCGTCTGACTCTTGATTCCGGTTCAGGTCATGATCCCAGGGTCGTGGGATCAAGCCCTGCATCAGGCTCCATGCTGAGTGTGGAGCTTAAGATTCTCTCTCTGCCCCTCTCTCTCGCTTGTACTCTCTCTCTTTCTAAAATAAAAAATAAATAAATCAGAATAAAAAAATAAATTGCTCTGTGATATTTCATTGTTTGAATAACCTGTAATTTATCCATTTTCTTGTTGGTGGGTCTTCTGGTTGTTGTCAGCTTTTTAATGCTGAATAAATTGCTGTGTCTTTTCATGGACATATATATTCTTTCAGATATACTGAGGAGAAATATTACTGGATTACATGGTAATGTTATGTTTAGTTCTAGTAAACACTGTAGTTGTCATAGATTTGTATATATTTTTTATTTTTATACAAGTTTTTTTTAAGTGTTAGAGAGACAGACAGACACAACAAGTGGGGCAGGGGCAGAGAGAGGAGGGCAGAGGATCTGAAGTGGGCTCTGCGCTGACAGCAGCAAGTCTGACTTGGGGCATGAGCTTATGAACCAGGAAGTCATAACCCGAGCCGAAGTTAGACGCTCAACTGACTGAGTCTTCCAGGCGCCCATATATATTTTTAATAAGCTTCACTCCCAGTGGGGGGTTGGAACTCACAACCCTTACATCAAGAGTTGCGTGCTTCACCAGTTGAGTCAGCCAGGTGCCCCTGTCCTTTATATATTTTGGATATTAACCCCTTATTAGATATATCATTTGCAAATATCTTCTCCCATCAGTAGGTTGTCTTTTTGTCTTGTTGATGGTTTCCTTTGCTGTGTGAAAGCTTTTTATTTTGTGGTAGCCCCAATAGTTTATTTTTGCTTTTGTTTCCCTTGCCTTAGGGAACATATCTAGAAAAATGTTGCTGTGGCCGATGTCAGAGAAATTACTAGAATTTTTATGGTTTCATGTCTCACATTTTGGTCTTTAATTCATTTGGAGTTTATTTTTGTGTATGGTGTTAAAAAGTGGTCCATTTTCAGGGAGCCTGGGTGGCTCAGTTTTCACCTCAGGTCATGATCTCATGATTCGTGAGATTGAGCCCCACATCAGGCTCTGTGCTTACGGTGTGGAGCCTGCTTGGGATTCTCTCGCTGCCCCTCCCTAGCTCACATGCCCTTGCTGTCTCTCACTGTCTCTCAAAATAAATAAAAAAAAAAAAAGTGATCTAGTTTCATTCTTTTACATATAGCTGTCCAGTTTTCACAACACCATTAACTGAAGACACTATCTTTTCCCCCTCGTATATTCTTGCCTCCTTTGTCATAGATTAACTGACATAAAATCATGGGTTTATTTCTGGGCACTCTGGTTAGTTCTGTTGATCTATGTGTTTGTTTTTGTGCCGGTACCACACTATTTTGATTACTATTTGTAGTATATCTTGAAATCTGGGGTGGTGATACCTTTAAGCTTTGTTGTTCTTAAAATTGCTTTGACTACAAATTTTGGGATTATTTGCTTTTAGTCTGTGAAGAATGTTGTTGGTATTTTGGTAGGGATTACATTAAATTTGTAGATGGCTTTGTGTACTATGGATATCTTAACAATATTCTTCCAGTCCATGAGCATGGAATAGCTTTACATTTGTTTGCGACATCTTCAGTTTCTTTCATCAGTATTTCATAGTTTCCATAGTAAAGATCTTTCATCTTCTTGGTTATTTTATTCCTAAGTATTGTATTCTTTTTAGTGCAATTATAAATGGAATTGTTTTCTTTATTTCTCTTTCTGCTATTTCATTATTATCATATGGAAATGTGGCTGATTTCTCTATATTGATTTTGTATCCTGCACCTTTACTGAATACATTTATTACTCCTAGTAGTGTTTTTGGTAGAGTCTTTAGAATTTTCTATGTATGGTATCATGTGTCTGCAAATAGTGACATTTTAACTTCTTCCTTACCAGTTTGGATGCCTTTCATTGCCTGACTGCTGTGGCTAGGACTTACAATATTTTGTTGACTAAACGAGGCAAGAATGGGCATCCTTGTCTTGTTTTTGATTTTGAGAAAAGTTCTTAATTTTTCACCATTGAGTATGGTGTTAGCTGTGGATTTTTTGCATCTGGCCTTTATTATGCTGATGTACGTTCCCTCTAAACCCACCTGAAGAGTTTTTATCATGAATGGATGTTGAATTTTGTCATGCTTTTTCTGTATCTGCTGAGATGATCATATGATTTTTTTTTCATTTTGTTAATGTGGTTATCACACTGATTAATTTGTGAATATTGAACCATCCTTGCATCCCTGGAATAAATTCCACTTGCTCATGGTGAATGGTTCTTTTAATATATTGTTGAATGTGAAGGCCATCTTTGGATATGAGCTACCACAACCCATTCTTCAGGCCCTAATGATCATGTCCTTCCATAAGTAGAATATAAACATCTTCCTTTCAAGACCAGAATCTCTTTTTCAAACTTGACCCTGCTATGGATGAGACTTCTTGTGTACAGCTCATTAAAAGCTGTTCTCCTGATGCAGAGACCTCTGTATTTAAAGACAGTTTGACGCCTCCTTGTCAAACTTGCAATGATGGGAGGAAAGGCTATGACACTGCAATAAGTAGCCCCATTCAACAAGGTTAAAAAAAAAAAAAAAGCTAGGCACACAGTATTTATTGGCTGTTACTTTTTCTTTTCTTTTTTTTTTTTTTTTGAGAAAGATACAGAGACCAAGTGGGGGAGGGGTAGAGTGAGAAGGAGACAGAATCTCAAGCAGGCTCCATGCTGTCAGCACAGAACCCAATGCCGGACTCAAACTTACTAACCATGAGATCATTACCTGAGCTGAAACCAAGAGTCTGATTCTTTTTTTTTTTTTTTTTTTTTTTTAATTTTTTTTTTCAACGTTTATTTATTTTTTTTGGGACAGAGAGAGACAGAGCATGAACGGGGGAGGGGCAGAGAGAGAGGGAGACACAGAATCGGAAACAGGCTCCAGGCTCTGAGCCATCAGCCCAGAGCCCGACGCGGGGCTCGAACTCACGGACCGCGAGATCGTGACCTGGCTGAAGTCGGATGCTTAACCGACTGCGCCACCCAGGCGCCCCGAGTCTGATTCTTAACTAATTGAGCCACTCAGGTGCCCCAGCTCTTATTTAGTATTTGAAAACCAGCAGTTGAAGTAGAGAGCTCTCATAGGAGTTTTTTTGTTGTTGTAATTCTTGGTGAGAGATGATGGCAACTTGGGCCAGGGTGTTGGTATTGGAGGTGAGGAAATGTGATTGAATTCTGGATACTCTGTGAAGGTAGACTAGATTTTCTAAAAGATCAGATGTGATGTATAAGAAAAAGTGTAAGACATCAAAGATGGCTTTAGGGTTTGGGCCTGAGGAATTAGAAGACTGGGACTATCTTTTACTGAGGAAGGAAAAACTATGAGAGATGCATGTTTTAGGGAGGAAATCAGGGTGTGATGTTGGATAAATCACAGTTGAGATATCAAAGTGTAGGTACTAAGTAGACTGTTGGATATTTAAGTCTGTAATTTAGGGGAGATACTTGGGCTGTCCTTCCTGTAAGATCTTACAGGCAAAATTAATTCCTCCTTCTTTGTATTCCTCATCTGTCACTTATTTGTGCTATTAGAAGACCATTTATTTTATCTTTGTCTGACTTTTCCAATAGACCAAGAAGTCCTTGAAGGCAGTTAGTAGGTCTTATTCACGTTTGGTTCCAACAACCAGGCCGATGTCTTTCACATTACCAATACTCTATAAAGCTTTGTCAAGTTGTGTTAAGTAATTATATATCTACATCAGCCTTTATTTTCATTAGTTGTGGCATATAATCTAGGTGATAATTTTAAACACAGGTGAAAGTGTTTTAAATAGGTAACAGTAATTACTTAAATAGGTAACAGAGATGTTGCTCTATCTGATCTGTGCTTGGAAGTTTTTTATTTTCCTCAATTTGCATTTATATGAGGTGATTTGTGCACACTATAAGGGACATTCAATGAAAAGTGAGCATTCCTTTCACCCTTGTCTCCAAGTCCCCTGGTTTCTGTCCCTAGAAGCAGGCACTGTTACTGTTTTTTGAATATCCTGCCATGGACTGTGAAGTATAGATATGTATGTCACTTACATGCATATAGATATGTATGAAGCACTTTTCAGTAGGCAGTATTTCTGGGAGATTTTTCCACATTGAGTACCTGTGCATTGGTAAAGGGCTATATTAAAAGTTTTTTGTTTTTTTTTAAATCATGATGGGGGGCAACTGGCTGGCTCAGTCAGTGGAGCATGCAACTCTTGATCTCAGGGTCCTGAGTTCGAGCCCCACATTAGGTGTAGAGATTACATTTAAAAAAAAAATTCATGATGGATTTAAGGATTAACTTCCCTTACAAGCACTTTTTATTTAGATTGTCGGGTCACTTAGTTTCTTCATTTATTTAGTGGAATAAATCCTTGTCAAATTATTTTTGTTGAATGCTTAGGAAATGGCAAGACTTTATAAAAAGAACCAGGCGACTACACAGACTTCAGGGAAAAATAGATGTGATTCTTTATATGAATCTAATAGGTTATAGTTAGAAATATTTCTGAGAATTCTTGGTTATGGCTTAATTTCTTGGACGCAAAGTCTGCTTTCACTCCCTTGTCAACTAGAATGAAAAGAAGTAGAATAAATTTAGTGTTAAACTATTTTTCAGGTATGCTTCATGCAGCCACCTTTGAGTCTTAAAAATCAAATTCCAAATTTTTTGACATTTAATTACTGCAGTGTTTTCCTTTGCTTGGATCATTCTTAAGGTTTAGATAGGTTTTATTCCTAAAAATTAAGTTTGCATTCATATGTTAACTACTCATTTCATAGTTTGTTATACTTGCTGTAACCATGATCTTTTTTGATTTTATATTTTCAGCAGCCATATAAAATATTAAGATGATGCTATCTGCTATTTATAATGCGTAAGGAAACAGAGTGACTTGCCCAGAGAAGTGAGTTAAAATTGTTGCCTAGCCTAAGCCTTCTAGAGTAGCTTTTACTTCTTTGACCTTAACATATGCATTCAATAATAGTTATCTACTTCTTAATCATGAAAATATATTAATCTGTTCCTAAAAGCAAGCATTCTGTCCAAAAATATTAACCAAGAGCATGTTTTAGGGTTACCAGATTTAGCTGATAAGATACATATTAAATTTGAATTTCAGATAAACTGGTTTTTGTTTTGAAGTGAAGGTACGTCCTAGTAAGTATTTGGGACCTATTTTCTTTAAGATTTTTGGTTGTTTATTTAAAATTCAAATTCAACTGGCTATCCTGTTATTTTATCTGGCAGTTCCAGCTCATTTTTCAGTATTACAAATGGGAAAAATCATAATGTGTTACATGGTAACCCCAGACTTTTTATCACTTTCTATAACAAAAAAAAGCACATAAAAACATCCATATATAAATAACAGACTACATATTGGATATAAATAAGATAGTATTTCTTGATCAACAGGTATTTAATGATGTTAAAAACAAACCGATGTTTGTGATAACAGTCATGGTTTTCCTAAAGCATCACTGATACCTAGAACATATATTCCCCTTTATTGACACTCAGTTTCCTTCACAAAATTTGTACAATTGATGTGGTATTTCCCCTAGTACATTGGAAATGTAACATGAGAATTTTTTCCTCAAGTCTTTTAAAACATTTTAGTGAGTTTTTGGGGTTGTAAATAGTTTTCCTCTATTAACATCAACCAAAAGAGAAACATATTTGAGAGGTACATGTGTTTTGTGAGGTGTGCTTGGTAAAAACCAATGGTTGTTGCATGGTGAAAATGTTAATTGGGCACATACTCTATAGGTTTGGCAGTATAATTTTTCAAGCGGTGTACTCTGTCAGGTTTTAGGTGATAAACATGGGAATGCTTTGTGGCTCAATGAAAGAGAATGCTCAATTCAGCGAAGAAATCAGAAAGTGGTGGAGGAAGCACCCAGGTAAGAGTTTCTCTCAGTGAGCATTTATAACAGACTGATTTTGTTTCTTACATTCCTTTCCCATTTTACTGGCTAAAATTGCTTTAATTGCAGTTTGGTAGACATGGTATGATTCTATTGAAGTGTATTTTTATAATTAAGAATTTGCCACTTCAGCTTCCTCAGTACTTAGTGCATGACACGTGAGAGAGTTCTTGGGAAAGAAAAGTGGGGTTTTGTTAGAGGAGAGAGTTGGGTGGATAGCCAGCTATGACTTCCACAGGCTTCTAGGGAATAGATCCTGCTAGTGTTTCCAGTCATGTGGAATGTCCAGGATCTTCTGTTGGTGAAAGTTTCATAAAGTTGATCCTGAAGTTTTTAAATTTATCTTACCATGAAGAGGCTTCTGGAGCATAATTTTTAGAGATTTCTTGATTTATCAGCACTCTTTCAGGCACTTCTCCAAGCCACCAAGGCACTTCTCAACACCTTTAGATGTGTTGAATATAGCAATTTCATGGAACTTCATGTCTAATTTGATGCTAGGTTGGTATTTGTATATATCCAAGTTGTCTCTTAGTCCTTAAAAATCCCACTTGAGTGTACATTGTTATTTTTAATAACCAGGCGATAAGGAGTATAGCCAATTATAACTTTGTCATAGCCAGTGTGCCTTGATATATGTGTATAGTTTCTGTAAAAAGTAGATGTAGCTATGAGCAGATTTTTAATCACAGGGTAATGGCAAAAAGCAAATCCTACTTCAATTATAATGGTTTTTATTTACTTTTAACGTGTATTTATTTTTTAAGGAGAGAGACAGAGCATGAGCAGGGGAGGGGCAGAGAAAGGAGGAGACACAGAATCCGAAGCAGGCTCCAGGCTCTGAGCTGTCATCATAGAGCCCGTCGTGGGGTTCAAATTCAAGAGCCATGAGCTAAAGTTGGGCGCTTAACTGACTGAGCCACCCAGGTGCCCCTGGTTTTTAAATATATGGTATAGTATAGTGGTTTTAAAACATGGTTCCCAAGTTTTTTGCCACTTCTCCTGTTGAGGAGTAGGGGTAGGGATCTGTGTACCTTCCCCCTGGTTTTGTGTTCTGTGACTGTTTGAGCAATAGACTGTGTAGAAGTGATGCTGCCTGAAGGGGCCTTAGGAAACTGCCAGCTTCCACTTCTGTTTTCTTGGGACGCTTAGCTTGAAGAACAGCCCACTGCAGCCTGCACATGGCCTACCCCTGTCTCATGGCCCAGGATCAGGATGTAAGAGGGAAGGAAGAAGAAAAGGCAAAAGCAATGTTTATCTGTATCTTTAGGAAGGATCCCTAAATTTACCCGTGCTAACTTGGTGGTGATCTGGAGTTAGGCACTTTGCTGGGAAGTTGGGAAAAGTCTTTTTTTTTTTAATTTTTAATGTTTATTTTTGAGAGAGAGACAGAGAGAGAGAGAGGGAGCGCGCGCACACATGTGCAGGGAAAGGGCAGAGAGAGAGAATCGGAAGCAGGTTCCAGGACACTGATGTAGGGCTCAAACCCACAAGCCGTGAGATCATGACCTGAGCCGAAGTCGGATGCCTGAGCCACCCAGGCACCCCGGGAAAAGTCTTTTTTAAATAAGTAACTGTGTGTCCTGCTAAAATTCTTCTAGTTGTGTAGAAGGGGACAAGGATTCCTGGTAGAATAATAGTAGTCTCTGACACACTGCTTTTATAATTTGGTGCTATCTTCTTATTGCTTCTAATATAACTAATTTTTTATTTAAAATTCACTCAGGTTTTACCTGGGGGAAAAAACCTTTCACAGACTAGGAACCTTGAATCATTATTTTTGTCTCATTTCTCTCTCTTTCTCTGGAAATGTAAGTTTTTGTTTGAACTCACCTATTTATTGAGAGAAAAAAAGGAAAATTTAAAGCCATAGGAACCAAAAAGAAAACAAAAACAAACAAAAAAAATGGGAACTGATCATTATGCTTGATAGGTATTTGTATATTATTATTTGTGAAATAATAAAGTAAGTGTAATATGTAGGTTTCAGTTTCTAGATTTTGACTTTACTGCTGTGTTTTATTTGAGTGCAGTGATGAGGTTGCTTATCGCTCTGAGTATTTTTTACTTTACGGTTTATTGAAGACATTTCAGGTTTATTTGCCTGCTGGAGGGTTATTTTGGTATTGTGAAACAAAAGTTTTGAGGATTTATTAGATGTACAATGAGTTCTTGTTATATGTGGTAGTTATGTTTTATAGAGTCCTTGTGAACACTGAATTAGTGAATACTGAAGCATTGTTCCTAGGGGAGACCCAGAGTTACGTTCTGTGAGCCTCTAGTTGGGTCATTTTAATCCCTACATAACCTTGATGAAAATGTCCTGACATAACCTTGTTTTATGTGTGTTCCTGTTGAAAGACACCTTGCTAAATGCATGTTGTTGATTCATTAATACTGATCTCATAGCCCCAGTCGGCAGTGCTGTAACACATGCCGGAAGGTAGTTCATCCACCACACGTGTTCTTCTGAAGGCACATCTCATGCTCTGGTTTCTCTTCAAATCGCATAAATCTTTCGCCTTTTACTGAAGGCACATCTCTCAATTTTAGCTTGCGAAAATTTGAATATATGTGTTTAAGTTTTACTAGTTGGAAACAACTACTTGTGCTAAAACTGATGGAAGTTGCAGCATAATGTGGAAAGTTCAAATATTAGTTTTATGAAAAATCTGAAGCTGACTTATTTAAACATGTTAGGCTTAATAACACAAAAAGCACATGTTATAAACAGTTGTAAAGCATATAATATAAAATCTTAAATTGATAGAGATCATACCTGAGTAAACTCTAAGAAAATTTTTATACGGTGCACACAAAAGATTACTTTTGTTCAAAATGTTGATTAATCTTTCTGTATTGGCAGCATTTTTCTGGATTCTGAGACTCGAAGAGCGATGGGAGAACAAGCCGTAGCTCTCGCCAAAGCAGTAAAATATTCCTCTGCTGGAACCGTAGAATTCCTTGTGGACTCAAAGAAGAATTTTTATTTTTTGGAAATGAATACGAGACTCCAGGTAACTGTTTTTCATTCCTCACCATGCCTCTGTACTTGACCCTCTTCTCCCACCCATTTTTGTTTTCATGAAACTTACAAGTCAACTTCATAAAGTCCTAAAGATTTCATGTTTATGCTTGTGCTAAGACATGTGTTGGGAATGACAGATAACTAACAGGGTAATTTAATGGTCAGTGTCTAGGCCTTCTGCTTTGTTACCGTTAATACTCCATATTGGAAATTTCACTTGGGTTTTTTCCCCTAACCTCTCTTGATGACCTGTATTAGTCAGGGTTCATGTGCTGTTGAGAGAACTGCTGTGGGTGTGATAAACAGAAAGGGATTAAGTGCTTACAAATCTTTGGAAGAGATGGAGGGAGGAAGGGTCCCTAGAGTAACTTTCAGGAATGGCTCTCAGAACTAGACCAACCAGCCTGGCTTCTAGAGGAACTGCCACCATGATGAGGTTTAGAAGTCAGGCTGCCACCCTGGAACTCTTCTTTTTTTTTTTTTCCTTTTCTTTTTTTTCTTTTAACTTGTTTTATTTTTTATTTTTTCAAATTTACATCCAAATTAGTTAGCATATAGTGCAACAATGGTTTCAGGAGCAGATTCCTTAGTGCCCCTTACCCATTTAGCCCAGCCCCCCTCCTACAACCCCTCCCGTAACCCTCAGTTTGTTCTCCATGAGTCTCTTCTGTTTTGTCCCCCTCCCTGTTTTTATATTATTTTTGTTTCCCTTCCCTTATGTTCATCTGTTTTGTCTCTTAAAGTCCTCATATGAGTGAAGTCATATGATTTTTGTCTTTCTCTGATTGACTAATTTCACTTAGTATAATACTCTCCCAGTTCCATCCACATAGTTGCAAATGGCAAGATTTCATTCTTTTTGATTGCCGAGTAGTACTCCATTGTATATGTGTGTGTGTGTGTGCGTGTGTGTATATATATATATACACACACATATACTGCATCTTCTTTATCCATTCATCCATCGATGGACATTTGGGCTCTTTCCATACTTTGGCTATTGTTGATAGTGCTGCTGTAAACATGGGGGTGCATGTGTCTCTTCGAAATGGCACACCTGTATCCCTTAGATAAATGCCTAGTAGTGCAATTGCTGGGTCGTAGGGTAGTTCTATTTTTAGTTTTTTAAGGAACCTCCATACTATTTTCCAGAGTGGCCGCACCAGCTTGCATTCCCAGTGGAATTCTTGACATTAGGGACATACTTCCTCTGTTCTAGTCAAGGTCTAGGAGGACTGGTGGCTTTTATTCCTTCTTCCCCTTTTTCTTTTATTTAAGCTGTAAGCTAAAATACACATTCAGAAAAGTACATAAAACACAAATTTAAAGTTGAAAAATTACTATAGCAAAAACCCATGGAAGCATCAAGTGGATCTTGAAGAACCAAAATGCCAGCTTCTTACACCCCCTGCCCAACTTCTTCCCCTTCTAAGGATCCCTTCTCCATCCTTCTAGAGCTATTTCCTATTCTGACTGAATCCCGACTGAATCAGCCAGGGTCATGTGATATGTAACTTTTTATACCTTGCTTCTTTTTTCAACATGGTAAGATTACACTGTGGGATTGGATTTCATTTATTATGGCAGAATTTATGGTATCTAGATGCGTTTCAGACCAATGTTGTAAATATTTGTTGAGTTTGTGTAAGTATAAGATACTTGTGTTTGAAATCACTTTTTTAATTTTTTTTTTTTCAACGTTTATTTATTTTTGGGACAGAGAGAGACAGAGCATGAACGGGGGAGGGGCAGAGAGAGAGGGAGACACAGAATCGGAAACAGGCTCCAGGCTCTGAGCCATCAGCCCAGAGCCTGATGCGGGGCTCGAACTCATGGACCGCGAGATCGTGACCTGGTTGAAGTCGGACGCTTAACCGACTGCGCCACCCAGGCGCCCCTGAAATCACTTTTTTAGCCTGTAGTTTATTGGCGTGAATATCTTTAAGAGTGACAGAATTTTGCGTTTTGGAGATTAATTTGATTTTGATTAAAAATAATGTCTTTGTAACGAAGTATGTCTAATTAGATAATTAGCTGGGAAATCACGTTTTTTATTAAAATGGAGACTTTATCATATCATGATGGGAATACTAGTTTGTAATATGATTTCTGAAGGGAATTTAAAGTGACTACAAGACATTTGTATTTTATTCCAGACGCAAGAGCTACTACATTGTTTAGGGTAATTATCAGAATTTACAAAATTAATAACAAGTGTTGTCTTCAGGACACTTTATTCCTGTGTGTGTGTGTGTGTGTGTGTGTGTGTGTGTGTGTGTGTGTATGCGCGCGCATTTTATTTGTTCCTGGTTCATTTATCTCAATCCGAAAGTTTTTCCAAGTTGGCCCCCCCATGGTTGTTTTGGTATAAGACCTCTGAAAGTTGGTATTATGTCAAATGATGCTATGCAGTTGATCAAAGTCATTAACTACTTATGTTTACAGTTTATGTCTTAGATAGCTTGTCAGCAAGTTCTGTTCTGTACTCCCAGAAAAAAATTATAAATGAATTTAAAAAATTAATTTTGTGACAAGTTTTATCTTATTATATCTGATAGTACCTAATTTTATGCTATTTAATATCACACTTTCATCCATTTGTCTTTCCCATTTAATGTTTTATTATTATTTTTTTATGTGTGTTGACTTCCAGTGACTGTAATCCTATCAGTTATCAGACAAATTAATTTTGATTTTCTAGAAGCATGTGTGTTGGGATATTTCTTGGTGGAAGCTGTAACTGAATGGGAACATGAAAAAAGAACCTTGAATTTCATCGTATTCAGAAAGCCATTCTTACATATTTCAGAGACTTCTTTCTGATATTTAAACAATTCAAATGTTCTTGTAATAGATTTTCTCTTTCAAATTTCTTTACTAACCTTAAATTATAGTACTTAAGGCACATTCACCAAATTCTTTATCTTCTCAGATACATGTTATCTCTAATTAGTGTTTCATTTTGAGCCTGGAGGGCTATAATTTTCTGTGTTCTTTTTTTTTTTGTTTGTTTTGTTTTCTTCCTTGAAATATCTTGATTGGGCTATCACTTTTTCCAGCTTCAGAACTTAACACACTTTTTTCTGGTTAACAGAAATGTGAGTAGCATCACATTGCTTGATTTTTTTTTTTTTTTTGGGGGGAGCGAAATTTGAAATACAAATACAGTTTCTCCTTAAAGAGGTGCGACACTGAGAAAGTCACCAGTTTTGGTGCATGAATGCTTGGTTCAGTTGACTGGCTTTGTTCTCAGTCTGGTCAGAATTTATATGTCAGAATTATCTATGCTGTCCTTGTATATGTTTGATTGTTTTCACAGTCATTAGTTTTCTGTTGCTTAATGAAAAAATTCAAATGCTTCCCCGTTACGGTTCCTTTTTTCTGTATCCTCCACCTTCCCTCAGAGTGCTCTTTCCTGCCACTGTTATTCTTGATATATACTAGTTAGGAGAGAGTCCTTTCTTTCCCAAGTGTTCTATTCAGTGTGACCTCTGTGTACCTTTATCATGTCATTCCTTTTGCTTGAAATGCCTCATTTCCTGTAGTAGAAGCTCACATATACATCTACTCACACACACATACCTGTATAGATGTTTCCTTCTCTCCTTACGGAAGACCGAAAAAGGTGATTTTGTTAAAATGCCATTTTAATTAACGAAATTGTATGTAATTCTGCTTGAATAGTTTTAGTTTCGTATCTTAATGATAAAACTAAGAATTGGCAATATTTGGTTTAAAAAAATTCCAAATGGTTCAAGAGAGTATACATTGGAAAAATAACTCTCCATACCACATTTTTATCTCAACCATTTAATTTTCCTCTGGAGGCATCCTTTGTTTTACTTAACAATGCATCTTTGGTAGTGTTCCATATCTAACTTAAAGCATTATCTTCTTTTTTTATGATTTTTAACATTTAGTTGTAGCTGTACAGTCCTAGAATTTCACCAGTTTCCTGTTGGCAGTTTTTCCAGGATTTTGCTATCACAAATATTGCGATTATGAATGATCCCATACATCATCATTTTGCACATGTGGAAGTAGAATTGCTGGGGAAATGTGAGCTTTAGTAATTTAGTTAAGTATTATTGGTGTCTTTTATAGGAGAGCTTATTTCTTTATTCCGTGACCAAAAGGATCTTTGACTTTCTGCCTTTGTCTAATAGTGAAAAATAGCATCTCATTTTCATTTTCCTTCTTATGAGTGAGGTTGAATTTTTCTTCATAGACTGATTCACATTCCCTTTTCTTTGAATTGACTATTAGATCCTTAGCCTTTTGTTATTGTAGGTGTCCTTTATTTTTTTAGGCAATAGGCATTTGTGATATTTTTTTTAAAATTTTTTTAACGTTTTATTTTATCTTTTTTGAGACACAGAGAGACAGAGCATGAACGGGGGAAGGT